CTGGCTATAGTGTCAGATACCATATTAATTCTATTCAATCGCCTTCATATGGAATTGAACTGGTATCTTGTGATCTGACCTGCGAAGCACTAACCACTGTGCTATAAACCCACAGGTCACATTTAATTAATTAAATAGTTGAAGTTGTTTTATTAAACTATAGATAGAATTACTTAAAAATATGATTTTTTTTTTTTTTTTTTTTTATAGTAGAACAGACATTAGATACCAACTGTTTATTAATATATATGATATCACAATTATATCAAATATCTTCTGTAATGTTAGACTACAGCTTAATGTTAATCTATCCTATTTTTAATGCCCTAACGATATTAGTAATACTCGAGAAATAGGTTTATATTTTTGGGAGAAATCTATCTAGAGGGTGGAAGTCTTACCACTAGTTTAAACTATCTAACCTATTAATTCAATCTTTTGTGTAAGGGTGCTAAATGCTACTGACTATTTCCTAAGGTTGCTTATTACTTCACACCTTTTCGCTTACCTTAATCTTGTGGCAAAGAAGCCTTAAGGTATTTTAATATACTCCCTAGTGAATGCTCCATTTTGATTGCTAGTTCGCTTTAAGCTATTAAATCTAGGAGCCTTGTGACTATATAGGGCACGACTCTTTAAGTAATTTCTTAACTGGGTACTCTAAGTCCTTCCAAGAAATTTCTTAATTTTCTAGTAGATATCCAGTTTTAGTCTGATTGGCATAAGTTGCCAAATCTAGAGACATAAATGTCAAGCAGGGCGCAACTCCTACATGCTCTGTCTCACCACATGGCCGCCATCTCTGCACATGGGCATGTGTCGGTTCAGTGGTCTTCTTCAAGATATTCTTACTCGGTAGTTAATGAGAGAACTTGGTGGCTTGGAATTGGTTAAGATGAAGTACAGCCCAGTCTGTACATCCAAATGTATGGGTGGTTCTATGGCTCCTTTCATAGACGATCATCATAGCACCATCTGGATGATCGTCACACCACTGCACCTTAACGGGAGATCACAATCTCAATGCCTGCCGGATCGGCATGTGAAACGGCTTCTCATGAGAAACAGCACACAATTGGTTACGGTACCAGATACCATATTAATTCTATTTAACCACCTTCACATGGGATTGAACCGGTATCTTGTGGAGCACTAACCACTGTGCTATGGACCCACAGGTCTATATTTTTTTATTATTTTTTCAATATACTGTATATATATATATATATATATATTTTTAGAATCACAAGTTTATATTGAAATAACAATTTTAAATAAAAAACCAATATTAATAACTTAAATCAATTATAAATATTTATATGTAATATATATAATATATTTGTCTTTTTAAGTAAAAGCAATTTATTTTATTTTATATTTATATATAAAGATTTTTGACTTTTAATAGATATTCTATATAAGTATTAATTGTTTAGCTATAGTATAGTATTAATATATTTATTTATTAATAATATTTTATTATATTTTATTAAAAAATTAATAAATAATTACAATATATGATCTAATTAGAATTATAAAAAAAAATTAAAAATAAAATAACAAAATTTAAATTAAATTATCAAGTTATTAATAATATTATAAAATTTTATTTATATTGAATATAAAATTACAATTAAAAATTTATTATATTTTAAATATTTCAAGTCAAATTTAGATTAAAATTGCTATTTTATAAAATAAAATATTCAATATTAAATAATAAAATTATTATTATTATTATTTTTTTTAAATAAAAATACAATTATATGCAGTTTTTATTGAAGTATTATTTAAATTATATTGTATTTTTAAGATTTTCTTTATAGATTAACCTACTGTATATATTAAATCTTATAATTTAATTATATTAATTAATATTAAAAATGTATCAATATGTTGAATAGGATTATTAAAAAATAAAAATTCTGCTATTAGTTTAAACTATCTAACCTAAATAATTTAATTATATTAAAAAATATTTATCTTGCAAGAATTAATAGGACAACTAGATATTTTAATACTTTTTATCTTGAATTATTGAAAGATAATATATTTGAGTAATTCAAGATTAGAAAGTTCTTGAAGTGCATATTAATATTTGATATATTATCTTGTTACATTATATCTTTGGCTTATACAGCTATAATTTCAAAGTATTCAGTATATATATGTACTTTCAGTAAATGCTCTAAAAATTGTTATTTTTGGTTGATACAAACTATCAAATCTAGAAATCTTATGGCCAAGTAAACCACTATCAATTCAAATAAAATTATCTTAAATGATAAAATATACATATTAATGTTAAAAATCGTTTTAAATAAAAATTGGTAATACAGTATATTGATTAATTATAAATACTTCAATCAAAATAATATAAATAAATTGATATTTTTTATTATATGTAAATAATTGTATTTTTTAATCAAAATATATAATTTAAACATTTACTATTAAAAAAAAACTATCTATTAAATTTATTCAATTAACACATTTCTTGAACAATATCTTTATTAAATAAAGTTAATAATTTTGATTCTCAAAGGAAACATAATTAATCTGTAAAATTATATATGTAATAATTCTTTTTATCAAATTGATTATGTACTATCAAATAATAAATAATATTAAAGCTTTCCCGGTGTTATAGGGTGGGAAGCTGATAATCCACCGCAAACGGCGTATGCTTGGCCATTAACGTATGAGCTTTCGTCACTTGCAAGGAAGACAACTAAATTTGCAACCTTGTATACAAATTGCACATGATTAGGAAATTTGTGATCGACAATAAAAAATAAAATATATGTGCAGTTTACCTCTTCGGTAACTCCCGCTCTGCGCATTGGATTCAACTGCCCAATCTTATCTTGACTTCCGCGAATACGTGCAGCATCAAACAACGCCTTTGTCATACCCGTTTCAAAAAGACCCTTTAAAAAATCTTTGTTAGGTACGACGGCGTTAGTGAACATGAGCTTACAATAATTAGATTAAATTACTTACTGGGCATATTGCATTAACGCGAACATTCGTGCCATATAGCTCCCAAGCACCTGTCTGAGCTAGATTGATAACTCTGAATATAAATATCAGATGTCTTATTCAGAAAAAAAAAAGATCAAACAAAGAAATATAAATTAACTCACGCAGCTTTTGATGCGGAGTAATCCATAGGTCCTGCCCCATTTCTTAATCCAGCAACTAATAGTTTAAACAATAACATACGTAAGAATATACAATGTTATTGTGTTTTGACATAACAATAATAACCTGATGCAGTTGCAATAATAGATCCGCAAGATTTTTCCTTGTCTGATCTCCCATCAGCAATTTTCATTGCTGCGGATGCATATTTTATAGCTAAAAACACACTGTTTTGTGTAACGTTAAATTCCTTGAAACACCAAGATGCATTTTTGTTATTCAGTATTTACCTGAGGGTGTTGACCTGTAGGAAATAAATAAAATTAAATATAATTCAAGGTAAAAGTGAGTCAACCTTTCCTTAGCAACATACCCGCATTACATTCATGAAATTTGAGACTTCAATATCTTGAAATCTTGTAAAAACTGCAGTGCCTTATTTCAATATGAATTGAATTAAAATAATTTTTTATTAAGCAAGCGAAAAAATATCTGATTGACAAGGTTAATACCAGCATTAGCAAAAAATACATCCAATCGCCCAAAAGTATCAATCGATTCTTTGACAATTGCCTTGACTGATTCTTCTGATGCCGCATCTACTTTTCGAGGTATTACTTGCACATTTGGATATTTAGCATTTATATCTTTCGCAAGTTGCGGAAGTAATTCATCGCGAAAATCCGTAATGTAGACAGCTCTTGCTCCTAAGTTGTATGTTTAAATGTTAAATAGTCGAATTAAAGCGTTTTTTTCATAAAACCAATAAAACATACCATTCTTTGCAAATGTCCATGCAGTAGCACGACTAAAATGTCGCCAAAGAAATTAGAACATGGAAATATCTTTAAGAGTATGCGTGACTACTTACCCTAATCCAATTTCTGAACCTGCACCGGTAATAATACACACTTTACGCCACAATCTGGATTCGTGCTCTTTGGTAGAAGCCATAGGATTCAAACATAAAAACGGTGATCTGTGAATTTTTTTAATAAAAGCAATATGCGTAATATAAAAAACTATATGTTAAGAAAATGAATTCATAATAGGAAAGAACCATCCCATCTTTAATGATGTATGTATTCTATGACTAGTATATTAATGACTGTCATATATTAATTAATTAATTACAATTTTTATTTAATGTTTATTTAAAAAACCAATATTTTTAAATAATAAAAACACAATAATATTTAAATTAATATTATAAGAGTTTTTTTTTATTTTAATATATAATAATAAATATTTTACTTGCTAATATATAACATTAACATTAACATATTTTATTATAAAAAATTTTTTTTATTAATTTTTTTTAAGAAAGAAAAATTCTTATTATTTATATAAGTATATATAAAATATATTTTATTAAATATATACAGTGAGACCTTTCTAAATGCACTTACTATATTATTTCTCTCTAAATGCTTGATCCCAAGTACATAGAACTCTTTAATAAAATTATTACATTTTTTAAAAATTTTCCTATAGTCTTAAGAAGTGTGTATTTAAAGAAGATTCACTGTATTGATTTTTTATTCCTATAATATTTAAATAAATTTTAAAATATATATTAAAACATTTAATAATAAATAATTTAAATTAAACAATTGTAAATTTTAAATAATTAAATAATTTTTAAGAATTATTTAATCTTTTATACTAATTATTTATATCATTATATATTTAAAAAAAAATCGTTACTTTCAATTCGGATTGCGTTATGGCTTAATAATACAATCATTATATGCACCTTAACTTTTTCCGAATTTGTTTTTTATAAAATTTATTATATTACCAGGCTGATAAAAATTCAGCAGATCAAGATATCAAGAATAACTTAATGTCTTATTCTAGACGGATTGTACAACAGTTGTCCATCCTTGACGACGAACTTCCTTTTTTGCCCATCTAAAGTTTAAAATAAACAATTAACCGCGCGGAATCAACGTTGGAGAAGAAAATAAACAAAGGTCTCTTACAATTCTAGCAACTTATCTCCTTTATTATTTTGTTCACTAAATGTAGCCTGTGGTAGCAACGTCTCTATTATATCATAAATTATCCTCGGTTTTGCTTCTGTGAGCATATCTGCAATAAAATATCATGTAATTAATTCTCTTCTAGATTTGTAATTCAATTTAACTTACTTACCCTTAGATCTGGGTTTTATAAAATCAAACACACAATCTGGATTTCTTTGATGACGCAGCTCGATATCACCGTCCTACACGATAGAAATATTATGTATTAAATAAACTAAAAAAAACAAGAATGTGAAATCGTTATAACACACCTTTCGAAAGATCAAGAGAGATAATTTCGATTTATTAAAATATCGATATGATTCACGAGAAATCTGATTGTTGATATTCTTTTTTATCCAGCAGAAATTTTCCACATATCGAAAATTCCATTTCTCTGCGATTTGAACAATATCTGGCAAAAATTCCTTTTCAACCCAAATAAAAAGAAATCCCTTCGGAACAACACTTGAAACATTGAGTGCTCCCTTAATATACAATCAAAATTTAATTTCGAATTCAATCTAATGATGGGACATTAGGCTCTCTACTTACAAATTGTTGCAATGTAATCTTTCCCGGTGATGGAGTTTCTTTTGGTAAAAGAAGAGGAGGATCAATATAGACTGCTTGAAAATTGGTTCCCAATTTGGTAAGGTCCATCGATAAAATATCTTTTTCAAAATAACTATAGAAAACAAAAATTATTTAATTTTTTGTAAATTTTCACTTGCATCATTAGAACTTGAATAATACCGTGAACCAGGAATAGTTGTAGATGTTTCTATTGGCGAAGAGAGGATTGTATGTGCCCAAGAACGTGGCATCGGTAAAGGGGGAATCCTAATATACGTAGGTAGACTTGGATCTGTATTGCTGCCAAAGTGAAATTCGATGGCATGAGTGTAAATAATAAGCATCATCAAAATTACAATTAATTTTAATTATTCACCTTACTTTCTTCTTGACTGTGAAGAAGTTTCCATTCCTATCCTGTAGTCTAACCTGCATAACTTTATATCGTAGCAGGAGACTTTCCCGATCTATATTGCGCCGACGTTCCGTTCCTGATTTTTCAACTTTCCTTCGCTTTCTTTCTCCAAATTCTTCGTCCCAAAAATCATTATCGACAGTCATGTAATCACTACATAAATGATATCAATTATTTATTAGAACAAGTCATTTTTTGAAATTATAAAAAAAAAACACGATACTCACTCCTCCTCTTCATACTCTGCGGTATTGCCGTCTTCCATTTCAATCAACCAGTAATCTAAATCGTCCACTTCATCA